TCAGTTTGGTACATTATCCATCATGCTATATCAGTATCAGTATATTAATTATTATATTCATTTGAATATACATCGTGCCACATCGGCCCATGTGAAACGTTTACATCGTCTTTAGTAAATATTCATTTTTAGCCTTATCTTGCTTCTTCCGTGCCTCATTTGCATCTAGCTGCTGTAACATGTACATTTCCTAAATAAGGCATCAATAAAGTTTATCTCATCTCATTTGAACTTAATTGACATTTAGAGGAAGAAACTTTCTTTCTATCTGTGATAACAATAGGATCGCAAAGGAAGAAAATCCCAGGTGTTCAGAGGTTTGGAGAGAATTTGAAATGGATTGAAACATGTCATAGACTTTAAAACTTCAAAACTAGATTGTTTCTGTTTGTGTGAGTTGAATTCCATCCATTCATCTGTTATCCTCCACTCATCCTGGGTCGGATCGCAGCGGCAGCAGACTGCGGTTCTACAGTTTCATTTAGCAGACGCACATCTGAGCGTGAATACAGCACAAGAAAGGACCTAGTCAGGAGGAAACAACCTGGATAAGTGCCATGAAACAAGTTCAAGTGTGATAGGACCTTGGTGCCTACAGGCAGTGCAGGAGGTAATAGGAGGTTTTTTTTTTTTTTGCTTTTTGCAGTCTGTCAAGTGCAGAGGTGTTCAGCTGGGTCTTTAGTCTTTTCTTAAAGACTGAGAGGGACTCTGCAGATCGAACAGAGACTAAGGAAGCTATGCCAGACGTCCCCAGTAACATTTTAGAATCCTTCCGAGGCATCCCAAGATGTTTGAGGCCAGATAAGATATCTGTTCCCTCCAGCGAGTTCTGGGTCTACCCCGGGGTCTCCTCCCAGGCGCCGAGGAAACCTCCAAAGGAAGGTGCCCGGGAGGCATCCTTATCAGATGCCCAAACCACTTCGGCTGCTTCCTTTTGATGCAAAAAAGAGCAGCAACTCCACTCCGAGCTAACTTCGGATGTCCGAGCGGCTCACCTTATCGCCAAAGCTGAGCCCAGCCAATCTTCAGAGGAAACTCATTTCTTGGATCCACAATCTCAGTCTGTCGGTCACGACCCAGAGCTCAGATCCACAGGTACATCCAACCAAGGTGTTGCACCGACCTGTCTGTCCATCTGACCCTCCTTTTGCAAGTCACTCATGAAAAAGACATTTAAACTCCCAGACTTGGGGAAGCAACTCATCTCTACAATCTACAGGTTTCTGGCAGAGCAGGAGGCAGAACTTAAGACTCAGGTGTGAGGGAGTGAACAGCATTACCACGTATCTTCCAAGTGCAACTCTCGTGGAAGTTAATAAAATATAGCAATAAAGCAAATATCATAACATTGGTACGATGCAAAGTAAATGTACGTATTTTGGGGTTCACGGAAAGGTTTCCAGATTTGAAGCATCCAAAAGAATCTTGGCAGGTAAAACGAGCACGGGGGGCATTGAAGTAATAAGTGAAATAAAACCCCAGAGCTTCGCTGATAGAGAGCTGCCTCCACATTTGTCTGTATTTGTACCATTACTATTTACCCACACACACACACACACACACACACACACACACANATCAGAAACAATCTGTCCAGTATTGCAGATTCTGAATCAATGACATAATGAGACAAATGTCAGGTTTTTATCTTTATCTTAGCATTTTAAAAAAAAGCTTGATATATTAAGTTAAAATTACACAAATGTTCCCCATTTTAAAAATGTATGGCTTATGGTAGAAAAAAATAAATAAATCAGATCAGAGATGGTCGAGCAAAAAGGCCCCTGATGGTTTAAGGTGGAACAACCCAGACGTGCGTCGAGCTGATGTTTACCTGTAGGCGGCAGTTCATACTCCACCTCCAGCAGAACTCTTTCTCCTACATTCTTCAGTAAACTAATGATCTCTTCGTGCCGCAGTTTGGTCAGATTGATGCCGTTCACCGACTTGATGTAGTCCCCGACGTTTAGCTGGTCGCTCCTGCTCAGCGAAGAGATTCAAGGTTTAGTCTCAGTTTTTAAAAACAGCCAGTTTATCTTTATCCACTTATTTATTTGTTCTTTTCTTCACCCACCTGGCCGCCAGTCCTCCGGGTCGCAGGTTCGACACCCGCGGCTTCCCGTCCTTGTCGGTTCCTCCTGAGATGGTGAGTCCGAGCGTGCTGCCTTCTTTCTTGACCAGCTCCACCATGGTCACCCCCCGCAGAGCTTCTAACCAAAAACACACACACACATAGAGACAATAGACGCACACAAGACGGCCAGAGAGAGAAGGACAAACCCAACACACAAACACAGAATACAGCAGAGACATAAGTGGTTAGTGTCCGTTCTGTCCGTCCTCGATCCTGCATTGAAGTGAAACTGAGACACGAGAACGATAAACCGCGAGCTGCTTGCTGCTGTGTGTCCTTGAGCAAGAGGCCGACCTCCTGTTGCTCCGGAGAGCTGGAATGACTAAAATGTAAATTTCAGATAAGATAGGCCTCGGCCAGCGAGAATTAACGAGTGCCTCATTGTTTCTTTGCACTTGAAGAGCTGCTGGCGGGGATGAAAAGGCCTTTAAAGGTTAAAGCGCGTCACTGAAAACAGCTGCAGAACTCTTCAAAGCAACCAAATGTTGATTAAATGAATTTTCCATGACGGATAGAGGAGTTTTTTAAACTTTATCTGTGTAATAAAAACCAAAACATAACCTTTAAACAATGCCAAACTTTACTTTTAAACCACTGCTGCTTTAATAATGTGATGATCTAATTATGTAGGAGCAGAAAACACTACATTTCCAATCTGAACCCAAAGCTATTGACACACTTTGAAACAGCCTTTACGGTTCTTACGTACAATTACAACCTCGTTGTGAACCCACTGAAGGGAATCCTCTGTGGACCCTCATAACAAGGATCAAGGAACAGTTCCTCCTGTTGACTCTTTTAACAGGAGGACAATAAAAAAGGATTGTACACCACTATATTCCCTAAACACTTAATTAAACTACTGTATAAACAAATGCATCGCAGCATGCAAAAGAATGGTGCGCGGCCTCTTTTCTAACGGATATAAACGGCAGCTATTCTCGGCCCCAGTCAAGGTTTGTTGAGGTAAACAACTTAATGGGTTGACTTGGGAAAGATGCTGCGGAGCTGCAGAGTTCACTTCACCTTCATCTTTCTGCTGCTTTGAAGTTAGAGTTCATGGCAAAAGTTCATGAAGACAGTTTTTTTTTTGTACTGTTGTACTTCAGGTCTGGTCCAACGTCCTCAACCGGCATTTGAACAAGACACCGAATAACCAGCCGCTAGAATAAATAATGGAAAAGCGTGAGGACTGCCTACAACAAACTGTTGTTCTGCTTCTTCTACAATGATCACACTG